CGCCGGCTCTTAATGTGGACGCAATTGATGTGACGGGCGATACATTGAGTGGCTTTGGACTGGAATCGACACCACGGCATGTACTGACACGCGTACCACTTCTGGCCGTCAACCACTCGAATGACGTACAACTTGTCCACAGTCTTCAGCGACTGTAAGCCAATGTAGTTCGGGTCCGAGAGACGGCTCACCGTTTGGTGTCGATGTATGTGTCGGTCAGAGATCTTCACCGTTTCAAACACGGGTTTCGTGTCGTCGTCGTCGGCGGCCGACTCCTTAAGAGATTGGCCGGACGTACGGATCGCCGGTTTGCGTACTAATGACGTGTATTGCCGTCGTATCGATCGTTTCATCGCCGGTACAGTTGGCGTCGACGGCGGTGTCTGTCCGCCGGCCGCACACGGCTTTGGATTGGCTCTCAAACGACCCGAACATCTGTTAAATCGGTTGGCGGCCGACTCGGAGCGGAGTCCACTCCTTCGCGGAAGCAAACCATTCATCGCCAGCGCGTCGGATGTCTGGCCGTTCTCTACCTTCACTACCAACGGAACCACCAATGGTTGGGTCGGTGTCTGTCCGGCGGCTACGGCTGCGGCGGCGGCGCCGGTGTCTGTCATCGACGTGTGGCCGCCGACGACTCTATCCCACTGGCGATGGGGACACACGTGTCGGGCGTGGATGTGATCCTTAATGGACGAACGGCTGCGGGTCTTGAAGTCACAGCCGGTGCCGTACGCGCACGCATACCATTGGCCGCCACCGGACGGACCCGTGCGGACATCTCTGCGGTATCTCGCGATGCACTCATTGCGACACTCGTTGGTCATACGGCTGCCGTCGTCGATGCCGTAACCGCACCGATGGTTGAGCTCGTGTTCGTTGAGCCGCCGCCGAGTGGTGTAGGAGTGGCCGCATTCAGGCCGCGAGCATCGGTGCCGACACAGGCCGGCGGTGAAGCGGCCGCTACTGCGCCTGCGCTGTCGACTGCGGCCGCGCTTAGGATCAGCTGATGGGCCAACGGGTGACGAAGACTTGGAGATTGGTTTGACTTTGGCTTCAATGGGTGGCGACGATTGGCCAGACTGTGCGCGCGTTGTGTCGGTAGAGGTGTCGCCGGTGGTGGTGGCCGACGATGGCTGGCCATTGGTTTCGGTGGACATCTCTATCCACGGCTGATGTGTTCACTGTATGTGTGGTTCACTTATAACGAGTGCTTTAATAGCGATATCGTGTGTGAGATATGTATTGTGAGACACAATAATCGGCGCGAGTGTTGTCAAAGTGTCCATAGATTACGTCCAGCTATTGGTGTGATTGTGTCCATAGGATCGCGTGTTAACCGGTGTTCAGATTTGCTAACGTTATTTATTCCCTACAAATAGCATACGATATGGTATTGAAAGCAGGGCTTGTAATAAATGAACATGGTGAGATTTGATGAATAGTGCACATTATGCTTAAACTCGTTATAATGAATGTAAAATGTGTACGTTAAGTGGTTTTTGGATTTATTACCTTGCTAGAAATAGTTTAGCCTGCTAATTATGTCGTTATGTTACTATTTTACACTGTATTAGTAATAGTATAAAATAATTAACCAATGGTTATAAAGTTGGTTAGCAACGCGTAACATTTGAAAACCCAATGTGCGTGGAGATTTAGTTTAATAATAAATCAGTGAATTAGAGTAAGCTAATTAAGTGATTAGAAAGTTTTATTTTACATAATGGTAAATAAAGTAGATTTTTAAAAAAATAGTGTTCACCTGTTACAGTGATATAACTTATATCATATAAGCATTGCAACAGGTTTTTGAAATACATTACTCAATGCATTGAATGCAATACATAGTACGTGCTGTACCTTAAGTACCTGTGGATCAGGTTATGGTGACCCACATATCAAACGCGTTGCCACGAGTTTTGTCACTATTGCTGATAATCCGGTAATGATATGAAACACTAGTGATGGCACTCGTGGTGATAGTCTTTGATGATAAACATTTATGACCATCGATGACATTCAACAAAGAGTTTAATTTTAGTTTGCCCTAGCTAATTATTTATTGTGCAAATGTTAAATGGTCAAATTGTTAAGTTGTTCAATTTAAATTATGTCGCTATTTAAGTTATTATTATATTTATTATTGTTTTATTTATCATGTGTGTTATTTAGTCATTATTGTAGTACAAATGCCAAAAAAATTAAAAATATATATCGCAATACGGTAAATATTATAACACTTATAACAATCTAGGTCTTAATAATTATAAATTATTAATGTTGTAAACTATAAATTATTTATAATTATAGCCAGAATTAATTAAAAGCCGAAACTTTCAATACGAGAGACATACGGTAACCACCGATGATGGCTATAATTTGGGTATTTTTCGTATAGTAAACCCCTATTGGAGGGGCGAAACTAAACCAATACTATTGTGGCATATGTTGGCATTCAGTTCCGATATATGGCTGGTGTCGGGCGCCGGGTATTTATCATCCAATGGTGTCTATAGTGAACAAAACGGGACATTAGTTAACAATTGTGGCAATAGTTTGACGTCTAATATAGCGTTTACATTGTCTTCATGTGGTTATGACGTCTGGTTAGGCAATACTCGCGGCAATCGTTACTCTAATACACATCAAAATCCCAGTAATTACAGTATATGATTATTATGAAAAATGTTACCGATACCGATACCTTATATAGCTTAATAGAATTTTATGACTATTATTTTTATTTATAAAGCCTGGAATAACCTCTGGAACTATACGTTCACTGAAGTAGGAATTTATGACGTGAAGAATACAATTGAATACGTGATGAAAATGACACAAAAACGTAAATATAATTTACAATTATAATATAATTTCATACATTGTATCACAAAATTAATACCAAAAACATAACTGATTTAAGCGTCGGTCGGATATATTGGTCACTCAATGGGATCGACAGCGATGTTTGTGTTACTATCGCTTTACCCGCACTTTGAACGACACGTGCGGCCATTCATAGCGTTCGCGCCGATCGCATACCTCAGTCACATGACATCCATTGTACGCCAATTCGCACCATTGATACACCCGTTACGGTAGAAATATTTTTCACCACGTTCTCAAGTTTTTATTAATTTATTCAAATTGTTGCACACAGCAATTTAGTGGCACCGTTGGGGGCGCCCACCGGTCTGATGGAGTTGTCGGCCCACCATTGGTGCACAAACCCGGTGTTTGAGCCGTTCTGCGCGGCCACTATAGACCTGTTGGTCGGTTACGACCCGTACGCCGACGACCCGGTAATTATCACTACTCGCGGGGCAACTAATTCCCGATTTTCAGACCATTATTGTTGTCATTAATTATTGTAATAATAAATATCATATCTGTGTTGTGTCGCCCAATAGGACGCCATACCATTAGTGGTGTCAAAGATACTGCAGATGGTGTCCACGAAGATATACTTACAATACGGTCAGTTTATTCTGGACGGCAGGTTTCACGAGTTTGATTACGGCTCGGCCGAAGCCAATCTGGCCGCGTATGGCCGCCCGACAGCACCCGACTATCCGTTGGAACGGATCCGCTCCAAGAATATGGCATTCTTTGTGGGCAATCGGGACTCATTGGGTGATGTGTTGGACGCCCAGAAGTTGGTGTCCAAACTCAGAGGTATTTTTATTACAGATAATTGTGTTTTAAGTGTTTATGAGATTTGCTTTTTTTCTGTTTCTGTGGACACAATTCAGTGAAACTATTGGACTATTCAATGGTTCCGTTCGCCGACTGGAATCACGTGGACTTCGCGGTCAACATTCACGCCAACCGTTACCTCAATGGCCGTGTGTTTCGTGTATTGGATTACGTGATAAATGCCAGCGATAAATGTCACACAGTTTTGGATAATATATCCAATGATATCAATGACAGTAATAATCGGTTACATAAATTGAATAACACATGCTTTTAATTGCTTATGGATAGACATTAGTAATAATTTCCAACATTATCACTTAAGAGATCGTTCATAAATAATAATAAACAAAATTGATTACCGTTATATTATGATAATATAATAAATATTTATTTTATTAAAACTACTGTACATTTACTTATATTAATACTAGCGTTCAAAACCCGCGGTTTTATTTTAAACAGCCTATAGTTGCTTACAAACTATTCACTCCAAAACAACTGTTACTACATTTTCTCTTGTTTTTTATCCCCTTATTTTATGTAGTTTTCACTATCCCTCCCACCCCCTTATTGTTACGTCTGTCAGGGTTGTCCCTTGCATGACATTGGCTTATATTACTTGATTTTTAATTTGCCATACTTCCTAAACAGTACTGCTAGGGTGACCAACTCCCATCTCGGTAAATGAGAATATTATAAGAAATTTTGAGGACAAATGAGGACATTTTTAGCAATTATAGAGGACAAAATTGAGGACACAATTTCATTGACAAATTTATTTATTTGCTACTGTTGAATATGTTTGTATGAATAATTAGCATTAAAATTTATATTTTGATGTTAGTTTAATAGAATTTAGTAACTCTTATTTATCTTAACAAGTGAGTTAAAATAATTGAAATATACTATAATTGTATTTTATGTGCAGTGCATGTTATATCAAATATTTTTATAACAAACTTAATCTGTTAGTACAATTTCATACAATTTTTGTTACAATCTAAAGTTATTTTAGTGTTAGTTTATCAATATGGAAATTGAGGACAATTCTGAGGACAGTAGCCAAAATCCTTCAAAATGAGGATTGTCCTCAAAAATGAGGACAGTTGGTCAGCCTAAGTACTGCCCAATTTTACGCCCAGATTTAAACTGTCATAGGCTTAAATTATGTCTGGGCGACCTTAGGTTAAACCCTAATAATAGTGATATGTAACTAGTTATTATCTAATGTTTATCAAAAAATTATTATAATTAGTAAATCACATGCAAACACAAACATGATCAAAATGGCATCATAATTAATTATTATCATTAATTGTTTTAATAATCCATTGAATGTGATACGAGACGCGTGCGGCATAAAGTGGCGAATCCACATCAGGACAGTCCTCGCCCAAAACACGAAAAATACCCGATTGTATACCAATAACAACTGCCAAACCATTCACGTACTGCACATATGGTGAGCCAGAATCACCCTGGTTGTGTACAAAATTACATTTAAACATTAATTTTTATTACAGTCAAACTATTAGGAGACTTGAAAACTAATTGCCCTATCATGTTGATAACAAATACGTCAAACGAAAACATGTTTGAAAGCATAAGTGATATAAACTATAAGTTTTAATTACAAGTCACGTTACTTAGGATCGTTCGGTGCCCCGTCCCTTACTCTAGTGTAGATTAAATAATTTATATTTGAGCAACATATAAATAGTGTGTAAATTACATCACACTTCTAAATTGCACATAGTCAACTTAAAGGCGTGTACAGCTATACATCTACAGTACACGCTTATGCATTAACATTAGCCAAGTATCTAATAGTGACTTCGTTGACAATACCTATTCTAAATGTTCTATCATGCACAATTTTCTTACGTTAAACCATTACAATTGTAAACTAAGATAAACTAGTTGTAAACAAAAACAGTCATATGACATATATGACAAATCTTATGACAAATATTTCACTTATTGTGTGCATGGCCCAATTTGTGGTTCATTCATAGATTTAATAATTGTTATAAAAATAATTAAAGTACATACACTACACGGGGCTGATCCAGACAGGGATGGTATGCGTTTTGCGTAGAGGGCGTAATCATCTAGCACCGAGATATATATGTCGGTGTAGGTAGCTTTCATGATTTTAGTCCAACCCATGCGTTGAATACCAAATCCAGTGCCGTTATTGTTGTCGTTCCCGAACCCATTCAACAGAGCGTACTCTTCATTGTCATTGAGTGCCATCTTTTGTGGTAAACAAATGGCGTTAATCCCAGTCTTACCCGAAGTGCCGTCCAATGGGAGAGCAGTGTTGAGTCTGATTAGCGCCAAATCCCAGGAACTCTTTCGGTTTTGCTTCCATTCGGGGCGAATGAAATACTGACCGCCCGTATAGTAGGGATGGGTTGCAATGCTTTGGTTTATTAGTCCCGGATATACACGAATGTCAGTCACGGGACAGTTTGGGCCACAACTGAAACATCAATTATCATCACTAAGTTAAGCGCAATAGCATTATTTATGAAAAAATTTAGGTGCAATAAATTGAGTGCAACTGGTATACTGTTATACAACATTGCCCACATTAGTTGATTGAGGTTTTTCATCTGACATTCATAACCTATGTGCTTTTTATATAGCTATTTAATTAAGAAATGTTAGTATTGATGGAAAGGATATTTTGGCAATTTTAGATTTTTGTTAAACCCCCTAGCCGTTGTGCACCGGGAAGGGAGTTGTAGCGCATTCAATTAAAATTTAACTAGTGAATTTTCAAAATCTTCTATAGAAATTATATAATAGTATTGTATAACCTGTTTCTCTTTATAAAGGCCTCCCGGTGCACAACGGCCAGGAGGTTTAACAAAAATTTGAAATGGTCAAAATATCCGTTCCATCTATATTAATATTTTTCAATTAAAAAACTACTGTACTGTACATAAAGAACATAGGTTAAGAATATCAGAGAAAAAACCTTAATCAGCTAATCTTCACAAAAGTGTATTAAATTTGAAAATAAGAAACATTTTAATTGAGTAACAAATAATAAAATTTAAATGTTAAATAATTTCAAATTATAAGGTAAAAACGTTAATAACTACTACCCCGTCGGGACAGGAACGGGGCAACGAGAAATTTTAACTCCTAAAAAATATGTAATTATAAAAATGTTTATAATAATACATACTATAATCCGTGAGCACACGTTAGGATCCATCGCTCGTTCAGTATTACACCACTGAATGAATTATTTCTATATGGTCCACATTAAAGACCCAAGTAGAATTTAATATTTCATTCATATTATTTAGATATCCAATTATAATATTAATACTGTATTAATAATACAACAAATAATTGTTTACTACAATTTAGCTGACCACTTATGATAGGCATTGCACCGCATTCAATAATACTTTATAGTGTGTACGTTATTGTGTACTACTAGAGTGACCAACTGTTTTTTGTTTGGGACAAGTTCCGGTTTGGAACATTTGGTCCCAGCGGTGTTTTCACAAGTACTATTGAGCGTCACAGGAATGTTAGATTTTACGAAATAATACCTGGGGAAATTATAAAATGTCCTGCAATATGTCGGAATTTTCAATAATTTTTATGAGGTTTGAAAGATTTGTGTTGATCACCCTATGTGCTACAGTGTACTATTGTATACACTGATATGGATACAAGCACTACAAGTCAGCAGCATGAGCCTACCATGAGTTTGTCTAACAAATTCATACTGTATAACAAACAAAATATATATCTAGCAAATAACTTACTCTCCATCTTCAATACATGTGATAAACACAGTCCACGGCGTCTCTCCGGTCTGGACTACCCGTCCGTTTTGAATGCCGGCAAACATTGTATTACTGTTTGGATGGTATTTAAAGCACGTGTTGTCCATAAGATTCCCTCTCCTCCCGACTCCACAGCCGGCAGTCGTTATATTCTCGTAGCTCTGAATCCTCGCGTGATTCCCATTACAGCCAACAATACATACACTTAACGCTACAATTGATACACATTTTAATGCAAACATTCATTCAATCATTTAAAACATTTCTTACGTATAATTAGTCCCAAAATTATAATATTAATTAATGAATACATTTTGCTTAAAAATTATTTAACAATATTTTTAAAATTTAGTAAAACTTTTATTGAATAAATACAAAAAAATACGAATTTACTAAATATGTGTAATTAAATGCAATTTAAATTTTATATTATTTTTAACGACAGTAATATTAATTAGTATAACAGTATATACAGTATGTAATATAATTACCAGTTTAAAAATCATATTTCATTTGTAAAATTCTTATTATATTAAATAAATATCATTACAATAAGTAAAAAATTTAATTCTTTAATTATCAAACAAATAAGCAAAAATTTGATAAATTTATTTTAAATAATATATTGTATTAATAATTCAGAATTTTAATTATAATAAAATGAATTTTTAATTTTATTTAAATTAAAATTTAATTTTATATTTAAAATATTATTTAATTAATGACAATAGAAATTGAAAAAATCACAAAATAAATTAAATTCTCTCTCTCTCTCTCTCTCTCTCTCTCTCTCTCTCTCTCTCTCTCTCTCTCTCTCTCTCTCTCTCTCT